TTTTGATATCCATCATTAATTCATTAATAAATCAATTTCATTTTAATCTTTACTCATTGCCATCACTTTAAACTTTTTCTTAAGAGTCAAAGAAACCAGTGTATGAATGTGAGAGTGAATGAATAGTGGTATTGTAAAGCACTTTGAGGGTCCCGAAAAGCGCTATATAAATGCAATCCATTATTGTTTGGTGTCTGACACATACATTAGCCAGAGACAAGAGTTTTCTTCCGCAGGGATATCCTGTGACAATAGAAGTGGTTCAAATTAGTTTAAGGGATATATTCTGTGTAAACATTTAGCAAAAGGCTTCTGTTCCTTGTCTTTTACTGGCACTGACCCGGAAAGTGTAGAAAACGCATAATGGCACAGAACGTGTAAACATGCAGCCACTTACTAGAGGTATACACTCTACACCTGCCAAAAACAATTACTCTCCCCAGCTTAACCATTGTGTGTGTGTGTGTGTGTGTGTGTGTGTGTGTGTGTGTGTGTGTGTGTGTCTGCGTTCGTGTGTGTGCCAGTGACTGAAAATCTTGCAGTGAGGTAGTACATGAACATAATAGCTTCCCTTTGATCTCATCCAGAGCTGGAAATAAGACTCAGTAAACCCCACCTGGTTCACAGTCACAAGAGTCCAAGTGGGAGCTGACCCAAGGAGTGTGTGTCTGTGTGTGTGTTTGGCACACAGGAAGTGCATTTATTGTACTTTTAAACTGTGCTGATGATGTTGATGTTAATAGTTATTTTAATAATATGAACATGAAATATTAATTTCACAGGTTGATTGGTTGATGTTTGACTGATAATGTGGGGTGAGAGGGAAAGACGGGTAAGAGTGTGCTGCCAGAGGTCAAGAGGGAAAACGTGAATAAAAGAGGAGGGGAGGGCGGTTTGATACTCTGTGCTTTGGCCCGCTGAAACCCAATCTGAGATGAAAGGGCTCATCCTTTGTCTGCTCACAGAGGAAATCAAAAATAAAGTCACTCACATGTGCTGAGATTCAGTGCTTAGAGGGTAAACGGTCACGACTGCAACTGCACTCACTTAAAGCTAAAGGGAAGATGGCAGGGTGAAGGTTTAGGGGGTGTGTCCATATGTGAGAAAACAAAGAAAGAGCCTCAGTACTGATATATATATGAAGACTACAGCAGGCTGGAAGTCAATCTGTAATGCCCTTTTAAAAGCTGCTGTCTTGAAATGATGCTTACTTGTTTTTTGAGAATAGACTGTATATAAAAGATGGATATCATCATTGTGAGATCACTCACTGCCATGTAAAGTTTCCACTTGAAGCCTCTGCTTTGTCACCTAGCTAACGTTCACAGGTTTGGATGAACTACATCAGTAGACTGAATGAATGCATAACAACTGCCAAGTTACCTACAAAAAACATCGATTTTTCTTACTAGAACTACAGCAGCAACTGTAGTGTAAGTCTGCAGGAAAGAACTATTAATTTAATAGTTGATCTAATCTAATCTAACTACTCATATATATAACAATTATAGCAGACCTCGACTATTTGAAGTGATGGCTCACCCCTTCTAGCATATTGTCAAGGTCTAGTCAATGTCATATGTGCTGTTTAGCCGCACAGCTGCTCACCTCAGCTGAACCTTCTTGTGGGTTTTTGTTTTTTCGAAGTCTTAGCTCTGCTATTTCAGAGTCTGTTAAGACTTGAAGCAAAGATGGTTGTGCAATTGGACCTGGCAAAGTGCAGACTTGGCTTGCTAACAAGGATGTTAGCATTACGCATGTACTGTGCTTCTGTGGTTCTTTTATTGTTTATGTAAGATAAAAGTATGTTGGGTGTGTATTTGTTCATGAACTAGAAAGACCCATTGCTACATGAGTAGCTAGGCTCGGGGCTCTAGTGTTGATGTCAAATGTGACACAAAACAACATATGCCTCACTTAGTGTAAGTGAAATCAAACCTCCTATCAGTGTTCCATTCATTCTTCCAAACGAGATCACACACACCTGTGTGCTTGCACAAGTACAAGAAAGCATTTTATCTGTAGCACCTGTATCATACATAACCTGTCTCATTCTAACTTAAATAGCACTATCGTTAGGTAGTTTTTGGGATCAACAAACCTATATTGTTGCAAACATAAATTTAATCATGATTTGATTTTGGAGAAGTTTAGTACATGATGAAATTTACAATAGCTTCAAATAATAGAGTCTACATCAATTTAATGAACAAAACTATGTTAGATTGTTGAGGAAAAGAGGACAGAAAGTGGAGGAAACAGGAGATAAGTTTACAATAAAAAGTGAAATTTTAATGATGGTGGTCTAGTCAAACATGTACCAAAAAGGAGATACAAACATAACATCCACACTTGTCCAAAATAGTGATGCGCGAATCATGTTCACGTTCAATACTCGAGAATCACTTTACTGACTCATGAATCATGATTCACAAGCCCAATTGACTCACTAACTCATCCCTGTTGCTGTTAGCAAACTAATTTCATTAGTAGAAATATATGTAGCTTATAATTAAAATCGTGGGGGAAAAAAACAACAGCCAGTTTCTTAACAAAAACATTTCTGCTCTGAACTGGAAGAAAAAACCCTGAGTAGAAGCTCACATCAAGACAATAGCTCCTTGGTTCACAGTAGCATCGCTCTGCTAACATGCTAACAGCACATTTTAGCTACTCACCCCCTCCCTTCCTGCGCTGAATTGTAGCGTAAGCGAATCACTCAGGACTCACTCACCCCCTCCCTTCCTGTGATGAATCATAGCACTAACGAATCACTCACTGGTCATGTCCAAATTCATGGGCTGCATCCTCCTGAGGACCCGGCCTCCGCGGTCTACACGGGCCAGGTCCTCAGAAGTGCGTGTAGGCCGGAAGTAAACGGCTGGGGAAATTGGACGGTCTAGCCTTCTGATTAGCGTCACCGCTGTCTCGTTAGAGTTTAATAAACTCAGCCGTCTGCTCCTTGCTATCTAAAATATAACAGGACACTGGCGTAAATTCTCGACCGTGTCATACTTCTGTTTAATCAGTTTTCGGTTTGACATGTAGTCAGCTGTGTAAAAACCAAGGAGGAACCCACCCGGGGGATTAATAGTTTTATTTTATCTAATCTAATAACTTTAATCTCAGCCAAACCGATTTACTCACAAACAAACAAAACACTGAAAAAAGCACAACAATAACATTTTTAGGTTGTCTAAGTGACTTATATTAACCTGAGTAGCGAAAGTCCGCGGTGATCTGAAAACGATGTGCCGGGAGTTGTGCCGTTCTCGGCGGCTTCAGTGAACCTCGAGCTCCCAGCTAGCTATCGAGCTGGTGACTAGCAGACGTCTCCGAAAACGTCGAGCAGATATTTGATGTTTACACAGCTACTACATTAAAAAAAAACCAACTTGAGGACCTGACACTGGGAGATTCTCAGCTGTAGCTAATGACCACCTCCATTAGCTGTTTGAGAAACTCTTTGTCATGTTTTCTATTCAATATTTCTGGCAGACTAGTTTTAAACAAAAACCTTATAAATGTGATCTTAAAAATCCACTGGATGGCAATAGCTATGCTAATTTACAAAAAAACTGAGACTAAACTTTGATGTCAGATATGTTCTCCAGTAGTCAGTTCATTGTGTTTCCTATTCTTTAAAAACTTAATCTACTCAGCTTATAAATATGATTAAGTTAGTACCTAGCACTAGCACTAGACAGCTAGTTTGGCTAGCAAGGTGCATCTGGTGCAAGGTGCAAGTTAGCATTTCTGATGCTAACTTTGACTAGAAAAACTCATTCTAACCCAACACACTCAACAGAAAAGCAGAACATGCCTTAGAATGTGTTTTAGTGCAAGGGAACTTTGGGTAAAGGCACACAACTACCACTCAAGATAGCTACACAGAACTTATGTAATTTCTGTATTCCTTTTATTTTTCAAAGCTGGCAGTAGGATTGACTGTACGAATTCATGCAGTGAGCTAGTTAGCGGGGCTTGCCTTTGCTAAAGAGTATTAACAAACATGCTTTAATTCACTCCTCAATAAAGTTTTCTCTCTGTCTCACTTTCTCTCCCCGCAGGTGGCGAAGGTGGAGTACGTGCGAAGGCGGCCAAAGCTGAGGGAGGTGCAGGTGAGGGTGGAGGATCACTTAGAGTGCACGTGCACCAATAAACGCCATATCAGCCCAAACTCAGACACAGACAATGGTGAGCATATAGCTGCGTATCTTTGTGTGTGTGTGTATGTGTTTGTGCGTGGGCGTGGGCATGGGGGTTTAGGCTGGCTCACTTCACATGTTACGGCTCCTCTCTGAATGTGTCGACTGACACCAACAGAACTGATAACATCTGAGGCATTTACAGTGTTTTCCCTGCCTGAGTTAATTCTCCCTCAGGGCAGCATTTCCCTTCACACACACTAACCCATCCACTCACACACACACACATATATGTGTGCACACACACAGACACGTTTCAAAGACTCCCATTCTATATCATTCAAATCTTTCCTACTCGACGTAAACAAGGGTTAAAAAAAACATTGTTGTAGTGCACAAAGGTTCTTGGAGCTTAACCATCCTGTCATCATTAACTGTGTGACTTCTGTTGAACTTGCTGACTTCCTGCAGGTCGCGCTTACATCAGCTGAACTTAAAGCAATATATTTATGTAATGCTTTGTCCATTTCAGACCTTGGGAGCTCATTGTGTAAATGCAATTACTTTCTATTTCATGATAAGCCAAATAGGAAAAAAAAATTGCAATTTAAATGTCCAGCGGTGGTGCAGAAAACAGTCCTGAGTGTGTGTGTGTGTGTGTGTGTGTGTGTGTGTGTTGTTATTCAGTAGAAGATAAAGCTAATGCGCCAATAAAAGAAGCTATGTTCATGCTCCTTTCTTGCAACAGGCATCAGGTGAAGAGCAGCAGACAGATGTAGGAGTGGAGGACACCTTGAGGATGATGATGTAATGGAAAGCAAGGACAAGCACCTTCTGCCTGTGACTCCTTTAACACCTGCCATCAAAGTAACAGTGAAAAGGTCTAACGGAGCATATTTTGTCCACGACCTTTTGGAGTTTTGATGGAGGATTACTGACTCACCATTTTCCAAAAAAAAGCAAAGCATCAAACTTCCACAAGTGAACTCCAATTTTTTTTTGATGGAGACGAGAAATGATGAGACGATGACAAAGCGAACTGACATTCTGGTTCTAGGATGTTGAAGGGCATATTGCCTGTATCCTGCTCCTTCTCCAGAGTATAAACCGCTCAGTGACTCGGATTATAAACTGGGGCAAAATCCTTTCTAGAAACAGTGACTGGGATTAGTTTTTGTACTCCAAGATTTACTCTTCCTCAGAAAAGCACTCACACACATGCACGTATATCCTCTTATTTTTATAACGTCTCATTTTCTATTTCTAATGCTTATCAGTTCTTTTTCTGATATGTTACCCAAATAAAGAATGGATGGGAAATAATCCTTCCGACATGTTACTGATACTAATAAAATATTTATATGAAAACAAATTGGGTGTGGTGGTCAGAAAACAGCTTGCAGCAAACAGGTTTGTCAGAGAGTGACTGAAGGGTTTCCATGGGAGAGATTATCTGGAAGATTCTAATACCCCATTGGATTTGCAACCGACAGTAACACACACACACACACACTGAATCTTGGCAAAAGTGAGACTAGAAAATAGAAAAGCATGAAAATGCTGATTATGGAGCGGAATAGCCAACAGCTAACAAGTGATCTTTTTGTGCTGTTTAAAGAGTTGTGTTATTTCAAACAGGTCAAGGAAATGACAGTAATAGTGGCGTAGGGGAAGGCAAATGTTTTCATTGGTGACCTCATCTCCTGACTCACTAAACCAGAAGGAGGAGAAGGTGACTTCATATCAAACCACTTTCTTCATGTTCGCTTTCATTGCTGCTGACAAGGAGCTCTGTTTCATTTAGATATGCACTCACTTCAGCCAAACCTCCTGTAAAAAGTTAGCGACCTTAGTAAATCGAATAGATCTAGTGAAACTAAAAATGCACTTTGTGGACACAATTAAGAGTGAGAACTGAGAATCCACTTCTATTATGGAAATCTTATCATTGAACGTGATACATTTTTGGTCAAATTAAGGATTCTGATCATTTGGTTTCAAAGTTACATGTACATACACAAAGGGAACTCCGACTTTATCTTATCAAGGGTGCCACAGGGAGGCCCTTTGTCCCTAGACTATGTCTGTGAGGTAGCAGATGGGGTGACAGTAAACTTGCCTAAAGGAAATGCAATACATGGGGAAACCTTATATAATTTTAACAGAATGGGTGCCATGTTTTAACCAAGGACTGTCCTCAAGTCACTCAAATTGTGCATGTTTCACATCTACTGTAATTTAAAATGTATCTTGTGGGACAATGAAGGTAGACTATAAACATATTCAGGCCACAAATGTATAAATTTTGTTATCCTCAAAGGAAGAAAGAAAGAGCCAAATTCGATTTCAGTGGGATTAATTACAAATATTATATATAATTATAATTATAAAATTATATTTAGTACTTTATTGGTATGTAGAGTACTAGCATTTGGTATTTACAAGGTATATCAAAAGGAATCAACTGATTTTAAATTGCTTTCTGAATCCATTCATCGACAACGATTGAAACACGTATTGTTAGAAAGAGCAGATTTGTGAGATTCATGTGGTTGCTGGTAGGTAGCATATCAACAGCAGTGGCTGCAGTGACTCCAGACATGCTCACAAAACTACATGGACATATGCTGCGTTTCTGGAAGACGTCACATTGAGTGCAGTAAATTTGCACATTGTGGATTTCTTAGCTACCTTGCTTCATGATAATATGACCTTTGTCTGCAGATGATCATTAGGGGGTTAATGCTGTACAGTAAATGTTTAATCAGCATTCAAAACTAGCTTGAGTGTCTTTAACTTGGACACATATGTGTGATATCATTGAGAATAAAGGTTCACATGTAATCTTTTTTCTCTGGAGCTTGTGGCTGCAGCTCACAGTCTTCTGCAGCACATGAAACGTCTAAAGTCTCCATCATCGCTTTGGCTAAAGCTATCACATATTAACATAGGAACCACAGCTGCCTTATGTCACAACTAAACAGCAAAAAATAGAGACTGTGGAGTGTGTTATGCCGTGTGGTGAAGACTTGGTGTTTTTCCTTTCTTGAACCTGCAGCACAGAGCCGAACTGTGTGCTCGCGGGGCCGTTCCAGCTCCTGCTGGCACCCCGCAAACCACACAGCCTGCATCCACCTCAAACAGCTCTTTGTGTTTCAGACATGAAACACTTATTATGACATGCTTCATCAGCTACATTTACATTTCAAACATGCAAAACAAATGTTTGCCGGCTGAGGTGGGGAAGAGGCAGAAGAAGCAGACAGACGAGTGACTTCATGCAAGCTTTGTGTAACTCACTTTGCTGGTATATTGCTCTTGGAGAAGCTGGCGTAAACCATGTGTAGACATTGGCCAATAGTGTAACCAGAGTGGGCCGCTGTTATAAATACGTAAATTTCATAATTGAGTGGTTCTGTGCGAGCTGCACAAAGACGACGCTGTTTGAAAACGTAAAAAAGGAAGAAAAAAAAGTTTGGTTTTTAGCTTCAGTCTTTCAAATCTGCAGCAGCAGAATCACACACATGCTGCAGTTTCATCTGCTGTGTTCTCAGGACCCGAACTCCATATCCAAGATGTTAATGCATAAAACAGAAAGTATCGTGTGCACATGAAGCACAGTTGTTTGTGTGAGAGAGAACAAAGAAAGAGAGAGGAAACAGATGGGTTAAGACTGTGTAACAAGGTTTGAAAGGTGAGAGGGCGGAAATGAAAACAGGATGGAATACAGGGATCGTGTGTGTGTGTGTGTGTGTGTGTGTGTGTGTGTGTGTGTGTGTGTGTGTGTGTGTATATATATATAAGAAAGAGAGAGTAAAACAGAGTAAGTGCACCTTTGCGTGTGAGATGGGATAAAACTGGGTTTGTGTGTGTGAAACAGAGAGAGAAACTCCATCTCTCTAAAGCTCAGTTAAGCAGATTAACAACAGGCTAGCTAAAATGCTGAACTCTCTGTAGTTCAAGTACAACCTGATATAAGCTCGTGGAAGTCCAGCTCCCCCTGTCCTACTACAGATCCCAGATCAGATTACCAAACCTCCGTATTCCTATACGTTGGCATTAAGATGCTGGAAGTATACCTGAGTTAAGGTCAGCAGGTTTAGGTAAAACACCTCCAGGGCCTTTACTACTGCTGTCCTCTGGTCTCTTTTATTTAAAAACAAGTTAAATAATTAGTTTAACATTTTGGGGAATACACATTCTCTAATCCTACTATTATCATGGCAATATCTATGCTCTCGGACTGATCTAGAGTAGCTTTGCTTGATTCACAGTTTGAAATAATCCCTTTTTATCTTATCGTGGTCTTTGGTACAGTCTTTCGCTTCCTCTTCTGTCTAAAACAAGTTGTTTTAGCTAATCTTCCTTTCAGTCGCCCCCTCCCTTTAACTCAACTTTGTTTGGATTCAGTGGCCACAGAAGCCCACAGCTAGAAATATGAAAGATCTAGGAACAAAAAAACAAAACAAACAAACTGTGTGAAACTGAGTGTTTGCCCTGCAGGGATTACTCAGACACTTGCAGACCTCACTATTTGAAATTTGTGTCCCTTTTAATATGAGCATTCACCACTACAACATTGTGCATACAGTACTGTGCAAGTCTTGAAACATTCCTTTGTTTTGTTAGAGAAATAAATGCAGTGATTTAATTAAAATGTGCACACTTACAGCATTTAAAAATAGAGTTTGTTCAATACTAAATTGCTTGGGAGTCAATATTTGGTTTGACTACTTTCAATCTCCAACCCAGCTTGAACTCTCATGTCTTTAAAAAGTCTTCAGGAATACTTCAGACTTCTTAAAGGATGATCGTCATCTTTTGTTCTGTTCTGTTAAGATGATCCGTATCCAGGTTTTACTGTGTTTGGGATCATTGCCATAGTGAACAATGATTGCCTGTCAGGTGCTTTCCAGAGGAGATTGTGTGGTGGATCAGCAGCTGAAGGTACTCGTCTGTTTTCATAATACCATCAGTTTTGACAAGATCCCCAACACCACTGACTGAAATGCAGCTCCAAACTGTGACAGAGCCTCCAGCCTCAACTTTTTTAAGGACACACTGAACACCATGGTAGGCTATACAAAGATTTTAGCTAAATGTTCACTGGGAATCCCCTTGTTGGTACAAAAATACTGTTGAATGCCTGTTGATATGTTTCCTCTGTAGCATAGATAATAAAAATAGCAACAGACTGAACTAAAATAATACAATATATTGCATATTGTATAAACTTATATTAATAGAAGAAATTAGCTCTCTAAACGTAAAGAGCTCAACTGTAAATATCAAGAATATTACAGAGATTAAATATATATGATTGACATTTTACAATAAACTGTAGAACCTGGTAACAAATTATGTGTTTTTGCAACATGCTGCTTGTAACAAAATGTCTAAAGATACAATTTAGAATTGGTTCTTTGCTACATTGTCTGTGATGTGTAGACACAATGCTTGAGTTAAGTGCCTTTCTTATGCTTGAATGATTCTCTGAAAATGGTCAGGTAGAAGCATTGGAATTAAAATAATTGAGAAAGCAGACAGTGTTTAAAGAAACCTTGGAAAGCTTTTTAGAAAGCCTGAAGAACTACTGTTCAAAGGATGGCTGCTTGAAATCAAAATAGGCAGACGTGTGGTGGCTCGAGACTTTTGCACAGTACTATGTACAGTATGTCACAAAAAACAACATAAAAACATAAGTTTCCCATTCTTTAAAAATGTGCATTTTTTAAATCTCTTCTCTTCCTTCATCTCCTCCTTTCCTTTCCGTGTGTCACAAAGAGCTGCTTTACCAGATAAATACGTCCACCTCCCACCATCAGGCTTGTTCCCACCGCAGGATCCAGCAGGGATGGGAGAACTGGAGCTGAGGTTTGGCATCATACAGTTGGATTAAGATTTACTGCTGGTGTGGTCAAGGCTGATGTTTTGGTGCTGGATCCTGTAGAGAGGTTTTATTTCCACTGAATATGTGCGAATGATATCTGTCCAAAATATTAAAAACAAAAACCTCGAGACTCAAAGAAAGAGGCAGAAAAAAGAAGGTAACAGACGAGGCAAATTTTTACATTCTTGGTTTTCTATTACCTGCTTTTTGATTGTGTACATTTTTATCCATCTGTGTTCCACATGTTAAAAATTGAAGAGGAGTTCTCCCAGATTTACTTTGCTTTGAAAGAATATTGTCACCCCCAAGGTTTAAGCTGTGTTGGCATAATGTATACAGCAGGATCGGATAGTTCAGTCATCTTTTTCTTGTTTCAACAGGGCATAACAAATCCATTTCTACATGTAGGTCTTCCTATTTCCTCTGTTTGCATTTTTCCTCCTTCCCGTTTTTCTCATTTAGGCCCTACAGGTAAA